GAGAGAGAGAGATAGAAACTTTACAATTTATATACAAAATAAATTAAATTATATTACCTTAATCAATATTTATCATCACTCTATGCTTATTATTATTTTCTTTTTTTTGTAGATCTTGAAAAAAAAAGGATAACGAGGCCATTATTACACGTTTCCATTAATTGTATGAGAAGAAATAATAATGATAATAATAATAACAATAATAATTATTCAACGGTTTTTTAAATTAATCATTTTTAAAAAAAAAATGACATTTTTCAGTATCCGAATAAAAAAAAAAAATTTTTTTATTAAATTAATAATACAATCCTTCGATAAAATCTCATATTTTTCCTACTTCTATTTAAATAATCTAAAACCACGACAAATTTTTAGTCATATAATAAAAAAAAAAACAAATTTAATTACAATTTAAAAATCGACGTTGGTTTTTTTTTGGAGAGAAAAAAAAAGGGATAACTTTGGAATTATCCAAAGTGAAAACGATTGAAAAAAAAAACACCAATAGAATGGGATGATGATAATGATAATGATAATAACGATGATGATAAAAAAAAAGGAAAGAAATTCCGGTGGAAAAGCGTCGGCGGTCAAACGGTTAAAATCTGATTCGATTAATTGTCCGATCGATCACATAAATCTCGAATACATTCAAATATAATTTATAAACTAACCTGATTCATTTATCAGCCACAAAAGGGAATTAAAATTGTTCATCAACCTTTTTTATCGAGTTGTTTGTTTGTTTTTTTTTTGTTTGTTTGCGTTTGTTTGTAATGGAGAAATAAAATGGAAAAAAAAAACTGTCATTTTTAATCCCGATTTAAAATTAATTGGGAGGGGTAGGGAAGGCTAATCGTGGAATTAAAAAATTTAAATTTAACAATGGCTATTTTTTTAACTCTCTTTTAAATAATTTCTTTTTTTCTATTGCCACGTCTTAACGTACGAATTCTTTGTAATGGTTATAAAATTTTTGCATTTTTTCCTTTGTGGATTTTCTCGTCATCGTCGTCGTCGTCGTGTTTGTTTGGTATGATAAGGACGATTGATAAACCTGATAAAAAATTTTATTCGTTAACCGTTTTAATTATAAAAAATTATCCTAAAAAAAGAAAAAGAGAAGAAAATTTAACGAGAACTTGTCAAACTTGATAAATTTCTTATTAAAAAAGAAAAAATTTTGATGAAGTTGCACTAAGAGAGAGTTAAAAAAAATTTTAGTTTAATGGAAATAAAATTTTATAAAAAAAAAAAAAAAAGGTTAAAGTTCAAAAAAAGAAAAAGAAAAAATCCGGTGAAAGATTAATTATTATTGAAGATGACAAAAAGAAATAATAATAATAATAAAAAAAGCCGTCAGCGTTTAGGATGACTATCGCTGTCGTGCAGAGTTTTCTCCTTTTTTTTTTTTTTTAAAAAAAATTTCTCCTTCCACGTTTTTATATGCCATCAGGGTAATTATCATAGTAGATGAAAATGTTTCTTTTTTTTTTTTTTATTTAAACGGAGCTTAACTTTTTCAAGTTAAAAAAAAAATGGTGGGAGGAGGGAGAGGAAGAGAAAGAAGAAGAGGGGGAGGAGAAAGAAGAGGAAATTTTTTTTTTTTTTTTAAATATAAATTTTTTACCTTGATTATTTTTTTTAAGAATCATTTTAACTTTTCTAATTTCACGTTTTTTTTTTTTTTTTTTAACTAAATCTTTTGTAAGGATTTTATTCTTTTTTTTTCTAGTTACACGAATTTAAAAAAATTCAAACACACTTTTCCTTTTTTTTTTTTTTACAATTTTAACTTATGAATTTTTTTTTTTTTAATGTTGGCAATATAATTTTTCCCCGTGCAAACTTTTTCCCCTCTCCTCCCTCCTCCCCTTACTATTGACACGAAAACATTTTCGATTGAAAATGATGATTCCTTTTAAATTATTTATTTTAAAATTCATAAAAAAAAATTGTTTTCATTTTTCTTTTTTTTTTTTAAATAACAATTCGAATACAAAAAATTTAAAAATTCGTACGTCATTTAAAACTCGAGCACGAATAATTTTATTTATTTAAAATTATTTAATAATAAATAATGTTAAAAAATTTTCATAACGTTGACGAATTCATTATTCACGTGAAAAACGTTACGTATTTAATTATTAATAAATAATTTATTTATTATTTATTTATCGTAACGAATTGTTAATAATTTAACGAAAGTGATATAAAATAAAACAATATTAAAACGACGTTGGAAAATTATTTGCGGTTGTTTAATTTTCAAAAAAAAAAAAATTTCCAATTTATTTATTCATAAAAACGAAAAGGTAAAAATAAATCAGAAAAATTTTTTTTTTTAATCACCTGTTTAATTAAATAAGAGGAGGGGTAGGGGGAAGGGGTTAACTTAAAATAATAAAGAAAAAATGTGTGAGAAAAAACAAAAAACAGGGCGGGGGGAAGAGGAAATTTTTCATCGAGGGGCCACCCGTGCGTTTAGATTAAAAATTCTGAAAACTTTAAAACAAACAACAAACAAAAATTATTTTTGACCCGTTTTAAATTTCAGGTTTGTTGCTTGTCAACCTTTTTTTTTTTTTATTCGGTTAAAAAAGGAAAAAAGGAAAAAAAAGTTTTCGAATTGAAAAATGAGAAACAAAAAAAAAAAAATGCGATTTTAAAACGTGACTTAAAAGAGATTTAATTTTCTTTATTTCACTTTCTTTTTACCCATTTTTTTTTTTTTATTCCAATTTACATTTGATTCGCGCGCGCACCCCGGGGGGCCCCTGGATTCTCAAACCTTTTTAACTAAAGGCCCCCAAAGTTAATAAATCATAATTCAAAACACATTGGAATATTATGCTGATTTGACCCAGTTTTAACCGTAAACTCGGTTGTTTTTCACAATAATTTATGAGAGACTTTTTTTTTTTTTTTCATTCGATGTTGTTTGGATTTTTCACGGGTATAAATTTTTTTAAGATTTTTTTTCACGTAGTACTTCCGGAAATGATAATAATAATGATGATATACTTAAAACAAAAACCTTTGATTCACATTTTTTTTTCTTGATGTAAACAAAATTAATTGTTTTTAATTTTTTTTTTTTTCTTAAAATAAAGTACGTGGCATAAATATGTCTAGAATCACGTTTATTTTTATTTCTATCAACAAAAAAAATTATTATTTTTTCTCAAAATCTTATAATATTTTATTGTTTTATTTTTTCTTTTCCCCCTCCTCTCCCCTCCTCTCCTAATCCTCAGATGTAAAAACCATCCCAACAAAAAAACAAAATGGAAGACACAGTGGGAAAAAGGAAGCGGTTAGGAAAAAAAAAGAAAAAAAAATTTACAACTTATTTAACTAACTAAAACTACGGTAATGATTAATAATAATAACAACAACAATAATAATAATAATAATAATAATGCACATTCTAAATAATGGGAAAAGCGGTATATAAACAAAAAAAAAATTTACATTATTTTCTTTTTTTTCCTTCTTTGTTTTGTTGCAGCCGATTTAACAAACCAATGTTAAACTGTCACATAAAACAAGAATTTATATTATATAAAAAAAATGAATGGGGGAAAGAGAGAGAGAGAAAGAGAGAGAACAAAAGAATAAGAAAAATGACGATGCATTTTTTCTTTTTTTTCCTGTTGTTGTTTTTCCAAAGGCATTCGAGAATATAAAAAACAAATATAAAAAAAAAAATGAAAATTTTTTATTTTTTTGTCGAGTTAAAATAAAATTTTAGTTTTAATTTTATAAATGCGTATGATGTGAGTGCGCGTACGTGCGTGCGGTGCGTAAAACGCGTTTAATCACATTTTAAAATCACAATAAAAAAAAATTAAAATTAAGCCAAAATTATATTAAGGGTCATTTAAGGTTCGTCGTCCATTAATATTTTTCCGATTGCATTACGACATCTTATCAACATAATAAATGATAATATCGTTGACCAATCATCACCGATATCTTCTGCTGTTGAATCATTTGATTCCAACGGAAACAACCATTCGAGTAACGTTTTAAAAAAACTTATTTCCGTTAAATTTCCCCCATTCGTTTCGAACGCATCGTCCATTTTCTAAAAAAAAAAAAAATCGATTGAAATGAAAAAAAAATCATTTTTTTTCCATTCCGGGGGGAGAAGGGGGGTGATTTTCATAATTTTTGAATTTTCCCCCTCGCCTTTTTAATAACTACAAGCCCCGAGCTTAATTTTTACGTAAAAAAAATTCGTTTGTTACGAAAAAAAAAATTTTTATTACTTAAACCCGCCATCGTTTAAATATTACGTAAGAAATTTTATATATAAAAAAAATCAATAAATTTCCAAGGTGAATGTAATAATAATGATAATGATAATAAAAAGGACGTTTTTTAAAAAAAGGAGGGAAACCAATCGATCGATCGATTAAGTCAATCGATTGATTAGAAAAAAAAAAATTTTTGGTTACTGAAAGGGAAAAATTTTTACTTTTTGAATTTCTTACGTTCGTAGTGGTAGTAAAGTAATAGAAAAACTAAAAACAATACACGAGTGAATAACATTTAAGGTATGTGCCTTAAGAAAAAAAAATGACTGGCAATGACTTGAAACCTGAACTCATGATTTTGCTTCTTTTTTTTTTTTTTATCTCGATCTCAGCCATTTTTTTTTTTTTAAATATTTTTAAAGCAGAAAATAAAAATATAATAATATATAATAAAAATATAAAATAGAAATAATAAGTTAAATATTCGTTTAAAGCAGACTAAAATTTTATAATTTTACGTAATTATCGAAAAAGAAAAAAAAACCTATAAAACGGTACGATACGTACCTCAATTTAAGAAAAAAGTTTTTTTTTATTTATTACTCGAATTATTTATTTTTTTTAAAGAATCATTTTATATTCAAATTTTATTTATTAAAAAAAAAAAAATTACGTAACGAAAAATCAATGGATGAACAGGTATAAACAAAAACGTACCTGAAATTTATATTTACAATAAAAATCTATTTCATAACGTGTATTCCATTTTAATAAATAAACTCGGTATTCACACACGCACGAAACGCACCAACTAAAATGACTCAATAGTTAAAATGCATGATTTTGTTTCCTCACCGTTCTTCGTCCTCATAGTTATTTTTTCTATCTCTTTTTAACATTAACATGAAAAACATATACTCCCACTCTACCTGTCTATTTCTCTCTCTCTCTTTCTAGTTTCGTTACGAAAGACCTTGAATTTAACGGTTTTGCTTCATTCTAAGTAAATGTTTCGATTATTTTTATGTTTTTTTTTTTTTTTTTAATATTATTTTTATGGAATTTTAAATAATGAATACGAGGGAGGCGGGGGGAGGAAGGGGAGAGAAAGAGTAAGAATGATGATAATAATAATTATTATTATTATTACGTTTTTTTTTTGCTTTAAAATTCGAAAGACAAATTTTGCAAATGGTTTTTTATAACAATCATAATTTCAAAAGGAGGAAAAAAAATCCCCGGAGTCTTTTTTTCCTTTTTCGTTTTTTTTTTTACCATTTTCCAATTTTCATTGAAGTTTCTCATTTTCAAAATCGTAAAAAAAGGAAAAAAGGAAAAAAAAACTCAAAATTTTATTTTTAAGGTTCAAAGCTTTTTAAGCGAAATAAAAAAAGAAAAAAAAAAAAAAACGAAGTTTTCCACTCTCTGAAGTGAATACGTGGATTTTTATTTGGCGAATGAATTGTATTTGGAGGAGGAGAAGAAAAGAAAAGAAAACTAAAAGGAAAGAAGAAAAAGAAGAAAAAGAAAAAAAAATTGAAGTAAGATCGAAATAATAATGATGATGATGATTTTTTTTTTTAAAATTTTTTCCTTTTTATCTCCTAATATATTATCAATGAAAAAATTTTCCAACGTCAATTTTTTTTGCTTTCCTTTATTTCTTCTACGAATTCGAAAAATAGTTTTTGGCACATTCCCTCTCACCCCCCCCCTAACAACTCCCTTCCCAAAAACCTAGTTCGTTTCATTCGTTTTTTTTTTAAATATTTTGTAACGTTGACCGATTTTTTATTTTTCGTACGGTTCGCCATAATAAAATTATTACTTTAGGAGTGGGAGGGGGTTGAAAAAGAATAGCGGGGAGAGGAAAGGGGAAAATTTAAAAGAGGTAAATTTAATTCCCTTTGGGGCGTAAATAAAATTTAAAATTAAATTTTATAAAAGAGTAATTTTTTAATAAAAAATAAATAAATAAATAAAAAACGTTTTAAATTTTATTGGTTTCGATGAGTTAAGGGAATAAATTATTACCTGATGCTTCTAAAAAAAAAAAAAAATTTTGTCCCGATATTTTTATTTTTTTTCAACAAAAAAAAAAATTTTTTTTTTTTTTTTTTTTTTTTTTTTTTTTTTTTACGGACCCCCCAAAAACCTACACTGCAGCACTGTTTTCCATTTTGGAAAATTTATTGCTGTTCCCCAACAATTTATCTTTATTAGGTTCAAAAGCTCCATATCTCCACGCACGCCTTTCCCTTTTCTCCTTCCCTTTTCCACGCAGCATCACTTCCACGTACACGCACAAGCCCCCTCCCCCTTCCCTCCTTCCCCTTTACAACACGCACAATCTTTACGCGGAAAAATTAAAAAAAAAAAAAAATTTTTTTTTCTTTTTTTTTCAGTTAAATTTTTACGTTGATTTTGACGTAATTGTTTTTGTCGTCTGCTTCTGTTCGGATTATTTTAATACGTTTTGTGTGAAACGGGGGGGGGGTTGTGCGTAGAGTTCACCTCAATAATTTTTTTTTTCTTCTTTTCGTTGGAAAAAGTTTTTCATCTTTTCCTCTTTCGTTTTTCTTTTTTGATCTTTCTCCTCATTTTCATTTCATCGTTTTCTCTTTCGAATGCCCTTTTTTCGTTTTCTTTCTTTACTATCGTGACGATCCCTCATTTCAAGATTTGATTTATAACATTTTTACTACTTTTTCCATTTATTTTTATTGCAGACGAAAACTTATGCCCCTAAACTATTTTTCCAAAACCATTTTCTTACTTTCATGTCACGCCCATTTCCAATCCAATTCTTGTTTATAATTATTATAAAATTTATTAAAACTTTTTTTTTTTTTTTTTTTTTATTTACACGACGAAAATTATTAAACATTGTCATTATTGTGTTTAATATATATTATTTTTTTTCGTGGAATTAGATAATATATTTATCGTACGTAACGGTTTTTTTTTTTTTTTTAAATTAATTAATCGGGTCAGAAAAACAAATTTTACACATAAATTTTTTTTTCCCTCCCGTACCGTACCGTAAAGTTTTTAATTATTATTATTATTATTTTTCCGAGTTTACCTTTGACCTTTGACCTTTTTTTTACTTCTTCCTTAACATTCAAAAATTTTTTATACCTTTTTCGACTTTTTCGACTGAAACTCTCACATCATCGCATTTCCCTCCCCTTTTTCACGCACAAAATAAAAAAAAAATTTCTGTTAAAAATTTTTTTTTTCATTTTCTATCTCTTTCTCTCTCTCTTCTTTCCTACCGTTTTGTTCGTTCACTCTTTCTCTCTTTCTCTTTTTTTTGTAATTTATTCTCTTTTGTGCTTATTTATTTATTATTTTCACCTTTTTAATGGATTATTTTGGTGATATTTTTTAGAGCTCATTCCTCCTTTTTCTTTAGAATTTTAATGAGCTTTTTTTTTCTTCCACTTCTTCCTCTTCTTCTTCTTCTTCTTTTTCTTTTTGTATATTTTTTTACTTATTAAAGCTTTTTTATTTCAAAAAAAAAAAATTATTTTCTTCTTTTTGATTTTTATTCTTTTATACTCCTTTTTTTTTTTGTAAAAATTGTTTCAATTTTTTTTTTTTTTACCTTCTTTTATTTCTTTTTAATTTATTGTTATCTTTTTAACAGATTATTATTATTATTATTATTATTATTATTATTATTATTATTATTTTCTTATTGAAATGAATAAGAAAAAAAAGAGAATATAATTGTTTTTTCTTTTCTTTTTCTTTTCCATCTTTTATTCTCATTATTTTTATATTAAAAAGTATAATCCTGATTATCAAAAATTTGTAAAACTAACTTAAAAAAAAAAAGAAAAACTTTTCTACCTTTATTTCCCTCTCTCTCTTTCTCACACTCTCTCTCTCTTTTTTAAATCATTCATTTAGGCCCTTTTTAATTAATTATAATCGTTTACTTTCTATTTCATTTCATCATTTTCCTTTTTTTTTATTCCAAAAAATAATTAAAAAATTTTTTTTTTTAAATAAATTTTATCGATAATTATTTTTAGGTATTATTATTATTATTATTTTTATTATAATTATTATCAATATTAAACGACGATGATGAAATTTCACGTATTTTTTAAAAATTTTTAAACATTTTTTCCAGGTTACTATCCGATTTTTTTTTTTTTTTGAGAGTAAGAAAATGTCGAACGTTTATCTCTACTACGATTTTTTTTTGGTTTAAAGTGTCATTAGATTACGTTTAAATTTTTTTAACGTGGCTTCTACGATAATCGAAAATTTTTTTTTTTTGGGCTAAACTCCTCATTCTTTTAACTGCGTTTTTTTTTTTTTTTGTATTGTTGTATGTATGTTTAGAAAGGTAAAAGGTAGGAATTTGTTTTGTTTTTACACGCAAATTGATCGTGTCATCAAGACAATAAATAATAATAATAATAAAAAGAGCGAGTGACATTAAAGTGTACATGTGGGATTTGGAGTGTCTCCAACTTATTTTTGTTTAAATGTTTCGTTGGGAAAAAAAATGTTTAAGAGGAAATAGGAAAGAGTAACAAATTTAATTGTTTATAATCAAAAATTAAATAATAATTAAAATTCTGATTGGCTGATCGAACTCGTATACTAACACACCTCGACGAATTCGTATTATTATTATTATTATTTAATAAAAAAATAACTTTTGTCAACAACCGAAAAAATTTTCTTTAGTTATTATAAAAAACACAAAGGACGGAAGAAAAGAGTTAAAATGACGATGATGATGATGATGACGATGACGATTATCTTTTTTCTTTTTCTTTCTTTTTCTTTCCAAGATGAATTTGAAACGTCAAGATTTTTCCCTTTTTTTGAAAAACAGTACGAAAGGTCAAAGCTTATCACAAAGAAAATTTTTTTATTTTTTTTAAAAGAAATTCAAATGCGCATTACTTTCCTCAGTTCCTCGTAATTTACGAAAAAAAAAAAATTTTTTTTCCTTCTTCTTTTTAAAATAAAATCTTTATCATTATCATTATCATTATCATTACGAATTTGTTTTTTTTTTTCATTTTAATAATAATAATAATAATAATAATAATAATAATAATAATAATTTAAAATTTAAAATTTTTCTTTGTTTTAAAAAATATGAGATTTTTAAATAATAAAAAAAAAAAAAAATAGGTCGTAGTGTAGGTATAAAAACACCCGTGCGTAGAAAATTCCAGAAAGAAAATGAGTCGTATTAATTTACAAATTTTTCGTAAGAAAAAATAATTAAAATGTAATTTGGTATTTGATAGTAATTAAAAACCGTAATAAAATAGTTTCTTTTTATTTTTTTTTCTTTTCTCCTCCTCACCTCCTCCTTAACGATTACAAAACATCCTTTTCTTTCGGATTCGTATTACTACTAATTATCTAGAATCAATTAAAAAAAAAAAAATTTTTTTTTTTTTTTGGATGTAAAACAACAACGTGGGAATAACTTAAATGTAAAACATGTGTAAAAACGTTGTCGAATAAAAAAAAAGAAAAAAAAAAATTTTTTTTTGTTAATCCACCGGCTAAAAAAAGAAAGAGAGAAAGAAAGAAAGAAAAAGGATAAAATAATATAGCAAAAAAGGAAAAATGAACTGTCTTGAAAAAGTGTGTCTGTTTTAAGACACACAAAAATTGACATATTTAATGATAAGCCTTCCGAAAAAATTTCTTTTGTTTCAAGATTGATCCAAAAAAACTTTGAATAAATTGCCCTCGAACCAATTTAACCCCCAAATAATACAACTAAGTAAACACAATTTGAGTTGAGAGGATTTAAACAAACACACAAACACGCACACACGCACACACAAAAATAAAACTGGATTTATAAAAAAACAAAATGTCCCTTTTTACAAAATAAATTTATCTATTCACAATCCATAAGTCAAAAATAAAGATTTTTTTTTTTGTATAAAACACAAAACAAAAAACTTTTCTTTCCTTTATTTTAAAAAAAAACAATAAAACACAAATAATAATAATAATAATCAATAAATTGATTTCATAATAATAATTGAAAAATAAATCGATAACTCTATAATATTCTCATTTAAAAATCTTATCTTTATTATTATTATTATTAATGTTTTTTTCTTTCCCTCCCTCTTTTACGATTTGAAATTATTATTATTATTATTTTTTTTTTTTTGTTTCTCAAATAAAAATTTTTTTTGTAATTAATTTTATCGATATTGTAAGAATTATATAAATCGACCTAAACCTGACTTTAACGAACATCCGGATGTCGACAAAATTTTTATTTTTTATTTTTATTGTTCGCGTACCTTGAATGATTGACCTTGAATCGCGTCAATAAATTTATTTATTTTGACGACGTGCAAAATGACGTCATCATTTTTTTATTATTAATTAATGTACGCGTAACGAATCTATTTATTTACGTTCATTTTTCAACGTTATTTATTACTTTTTTTTTTTTTGAAAAGTTTTTAAACATTTATTTCAGGTATCCATCCATTCCGTTCCCACAGGAATAAAAATGCTTTGAAAATTGGCCACACTATAAATGCTTTGTGGTATAGTTCCACTAACCTAACAACACAATTTTTGGCGAACGAGCAAAAGGGTATCACATTAATTTTTTTTAATTCTTTCCGAGCGTACCTTATTCGGATGGGTAAGAGTGAGTTATGCCTTTAATTAACCTTTGGTAATACGTATCTTCTGCAGAAGGTAACCAAGTTTTTAAAATGTAAAAAATTATATCCTGGTTAAGCTGTCACACATTGACAATACAACAACAAAAAGTTGTTCTGGTTGTTTCTATGTATTGTTTTCATCTTATTACCATAATTAATAACTTTTCTATTACTATTTCTGAGAAATAAACTTAAAACTCACTATTTCAAATGCCACATAAAATTTTTATTTGTGCATTTTGCACTGTACTATCACGTAATAAAAATTAAAACAGAAAACAATCTATGCATCCAAAATCAATCAAGAGCAATATTCTAGAAATTTCATTGTCAAGGTCAAGAGTTTTACTATCATAATTTTTTTGCAAGCAATTAAATAAATCATTTAACTATTTATAATCAGCAAAAGAAATATTTGTCAATATACAATGTACATAAGATCAAAATATTTGCCACAATTAAAAATAAAAATTATAAAATGAATTACTTACCGGTGTTGAATCAAACGTACGGATGTATCTTCTAAAAAAAATTTCATCACTCACTCTTTATTCCATCAATGTAAATCGTTAACTGGTTAAAAACATATAAAATTTTTTCGCTCAACGGAGTTTTACCCGCGTTTTATAACTTCCGGTTTATTTTAAACCTTTGTTTTTAAATGTGTTATTTTGTTGTTTTTAAAATTATTTATAACAAAGTTTATTTCCTCGTAGAGCGGGGAGAGGGGGGGGGTAAATTATCGTGATGATGATGATGATTTTAAAAAATTCAATAGAAAATTTACGTTTATTAACGGTCGAAAATATAAATAAAAAAATTATGAGGGGGGGGAGAAAATTTTTTTTTTACGATAAAAAGAAAAGAAGCGGCGGTTACATTGTACACGACATCAAAAGAAAAAAAATTTTTTTTTTATTATATAAACTTCTTATATAGCTTATTCTCGTAAAAAAAAAAAAAAAAAATTTTCTTTAACCTGTAAAATTGTTTACCTTTTAAAAAGCTTTTTTTACGTTCGTTTAAAACTTTAAAAAAAAAGGAAAAAGTTGACTTTACGGCCCATTTTTTATTGCCAGTTTATACTAAAAATTTTCCCTCTTGAAAATACCATCATTTTTAATGTTCAATGAAAAGTTTCATTCCCTCACGTGCCAGATCTTAAAAAAAAAAAAAAAAAAAAATTTCTATCTTTTTCTTTTTTATATTTACAAAAACTATAACTTTCTCTTTTTTTTCTTTCACTCTTTTTGTTTTTATCATTTTACTTTTTTTAAAAAAAAAAAAAAAAGTTAGTCGATTTTTTATTCATTTTGAGAGGTGGATGAATTCAAATAAAAAAATAAAATAAAATTTTTTTTTTTTTGGTTTAAGAAAAGAAGGTAATTGGAAGAGTTGAAGGAGTTTGGTAAATAATGATTAAGATTTTTAAAAGCCTCTGTCGATGTGCATAATGAGCTAGCTACCTAGCTAGCTTTCAGTTTTCAAGTGGATTTTTCATTTAAAACTTTTCTAAGAATTCTAATTTCCTGCGTTGTAATAAAATGATAAAAAAAAATTTTTTTTTCTTTCTTTTTTTCTTTTTTTTTTTTTTCGACGTGTGACTCGTTTGGAAAATTCCCTTTTTTGTTTTTAAATTATTACTACGAATTGCATCAAATATTCAATCAATCGAATATTCATTTCAAATAAAAAGAAACAAAACGTTGTAAATCAGATTCAAAATAAAAATTAAATTTTTTTTTTTAAAACCGCCAGTTTTAACCTTTTCCTCCTTCCTTCACCCCTCCTCCTCGAAAAAAAACAAACATTTTTTTTTCTTTTATTTTCCTCCTTTTTTCATCATTCTATTTATAAGGTTAAACAAAAACGGAAATGAAGTTTTCGTGGTGCCGGATTTCCACTTGAAAGAAATACACAATGATTTTACATAGTAAATTTTGTGTGTAAAAACTTTATCATTTTTATTAACCCTAAAAAATATAGCCTTAAACCTTTTCCGTAACAATCACATACATTTCTCTCTCTCTCTCTCACTCTTTCTCCCTCTGGTTTTTTTTTAACATTATTAATTATAAAAACAAATAAAAAAAAAATTATTATTATTTATATAAACAAACGTAAATATTATACGTATGTAAACGACGAATGGCTGTGTGTGTGTATAAAAAAAACACGTAAATAAAGCAGAAGACGTGTGCTCGTATGAATGTAGAATATAGTCGTAGAATGCCTTCTTTATAAAAATAAACAAAAAAAAAAAAAAAAAAAATTCGTTACAATGTATATATAAATATGTATTTATACTTTTGATTTAAAAAAAAAAAAAAAGAAAAAAAGATGTAATTAAAATAAAAATATATTTACGTAAACATATACATATACATATATATATGTATGTATGTATATATGATGGAATCACAGGATAAAATAATTAAAATAGAAGAAAAATACAAAGCTGAAATAGCAGAAATGAAAGCTCGTTTCATAACGGAAAAAGAAGAATTGACTACGTTGTTTTTAGAAAAACTAAAAGAAGTTGAAAACTATCATAAGAAAATGTTACAAGATCTCGTTATAAAAAGCAATACGGATTTAGATGCAATACAATCAAAACACGAAGAAAAATTATCATTTATTTCCGGTATACATAATAAAGAAATCGAAGGTTTGCAGTGTAAAATTGACGAATTGTTGACGGCAAACGAAGAACTTAAAAACATGTTAACGGCCATTAAAGAGGATCAAAAATTTTCCAAAGAAAATATCGTCAACCTATTAGAAAGTGATATAAATAATAGTTGAAAATAATAATAATCATCATCATAATTATCATCCTAACCATAATCATAATCATAATAATAATAAAAAAGTAAGTTTTGTTTATTTTTTTTTTTTAAAAAGGAGATTAATTAAAATAATAATAATAATAAATAAATAATTGTTTTTTTTATTATTAATTACGTAAGCCTTACGTAATTTTTTTCATTTTTTTTTTTTTAATTAGTAAAAATTTTAGTTAATCGATCAATTTATTTATTTATTTATTTATTTTATTTTATTTATTTATTTAATTTTTTTTTATTTTGTATAAAAATAAAAAATAAGTTTTAGTTGTTTTGTTTTTTTTACATAAATAAATAAAAAATAAAAAATAGAAAAAAAAATAATAAAAAATAACAAATAAAAAAAATTTTTTTTTTTTTTGTTGGCCTGCGCACAATTTTATTAAGTATGTTTAATATTATTATTATTATTAAAAGCTGAAAATTCGTTGTTTTATAGTTATTTTATTAACATAAGATAAATTTTAAATTTGATTTAAAAAAAAAAAAAAAAAAAAAAACTTTTATTTATTTTTTAAATACAACCTTAAATAAATATAAAGTTAAAATACATAAAATTTAGAAGTTTTAAATGTTTGATTTTTAAAAAAAAAATGGTGACCTTTTATCAATCTTTTTTTTCTTTTTAATTAATTATTTATTTTATGGTTATTAAAGAAAGTTTTTAAGTTACAAAAAAAAAAGAAACCGGAAACTCAATTTAAGTCAAAGTTACCTTTGACAAAGCTCAGGTGTGAGATGATGCATGAAGAAATAGTTTTAAAAAGCTTTTCCCTACTCTTATTTAAATAAAAACCTATTTATATCTTCTTTTTTTCCTCATGTATTACCTATATCTTGTTTTACTATCTATTTTCCTTCTATCCCTCCCCTTCCCTCTTAATCTCTTATTTCCCCTTCCTTTTATTTTTCCGCAACCGCCTCGCCCCCTCCCTTTCCCCCTCTTACTCTTTTCCCTAATTTAAAATTACCAATTTTAAGAACTTTACATAATTATATTGTATACTACTATTATTATTATCTTTATATATTTTCGCGTAACGGCAGTAAAAAAAAAATTTTTATCAATTAATAGTTTATCAATAAACTTACGTTTTCTTTTTGACTTTTTCAGACGGGGGAGAGAGGGATGGAGGGAGAGAGAAGGGGGAACGGGGAAAAAAAAATTTTCTTTTTCCTTAATTGAATTATTGTTAAACGTGAAATCTGCGTAATGTGATTTTAAAAATAAGTTTTTATCGATATATAAATATATATAAATTTATTACGGTAATAATTTTAGTCATAGGAAATTATCCTTCAATTTAATAATAATAATAATAATAATAATAATGCGTTACGTTAGTAGTTTTAAGTTACAAAAATGATTTGAACAATTTTCCTAAAATACGTGTTTCTAATACGAGTTATTAATTTGAAGTTAATTAAAAAAAATTAAATTATTATCATTATTATTATTTTAATTTTAATTTTAATTTTTTTTTTTTTATAGGAAGTAATAAATAAATTTTCTAATGTCGGAATAATTAATAAATAAATTAATTAATTAATAAAGTTGTTAATTTTTTTTTAAATTTATATACGTGGATTTTATAGTTTGTAAAAATGTATTTCATTTTTTTTTCTTTCTTTTTTTTTTTTCGTTTGTTTTAACTCTTTTTTTTTTCTAGAAGAGAATAAGATGATAATGATAATAATAATAATTACGAGTTGGTAGTAATAATAATAATAATAATAAGAGTGATAAAATTAAGAGAGAAAAAAAAAAAAAAAAAAGGATTTCGATTAAAAAAATAATTTGATTATATTTACAGACAGGATAATCCTAACCGGCATACCATCCTCTTCTTTTATTCGCCTGTGGCGTACAACATCTTTTCAATCTTTCTTGTTGCTGTTGTTGTTGTTGCTGCTGTAGTTGGTGTATTTGTTGTTCTCTTTTACTATTTATAATGTTATTGTTTTTATATTCCCAATTGTCATCATCTTCCGACGATGCGCTTATCATGTTATTTAAAACGTTTTCCCTACAAGGTCTACTATACATTTTTATTGCATCCGGACTATAAGATCTACTTCTTTGTATGTTTCTATTTGGAAACGCGTTAGTCGATTCTCTTTTTTGCTGTTGCTGCTACAAAAAAAAAAAAAAAATTGAAATAATTATTTATTATTATACGGTCCATTGGTACATATATAAATTTTTCTTTTCTTTTTTTTTTTAAATAAGTGAAATATTAGACATAAAGGTTTGCTCTTGTCTAAATTCTGTCAGTTGAAATTGCTTAAAGAGTAAAAAAATTTATGTGTTGGAAAGGAAATTTCAACTCTCCTTTTTTTTTTTTTTTCCTACTACCATGACCCGAACCTTTTTTTCTTTCTTTTTACCGTTTTTAACGTTTTATTTTTAGGGAAAAGAGTTGTGTTAAGTGACGTTGTAAAACGTTCCGCTGTTGGCATTTATTGCTACTTATTTTTATTTTAAGAGCTCTTGATACATCCTAGAGACTTGAGTTCTTTTTTTTTTTTTTTTTTTTTTTTACTTTTTCGTAAGCACTTTACTTTAGCGTATGACGTTTTTTGATAAATGTTTGGAAAAAAAAAAAAAAACCCAACTGGTATGTTTTTCTTTTTAACTTTTTTTAAATTAAAAAAAATATTTATATATATATTATAAATTCAAAAACGTGTTTAATTGTTAAATTTACACAATTATATTATTATTACAGTTCTAAATTTTAATTAACGTAACTTTTAATTATTATTATAATTATTATTATTTTCTAAGGAGACGACGACCGTATTATACGGGGTTTTATCTCAATTATTATTATTATTATTATTAGTTTTAAATCTAGACAGTTTTAAATTAAAAACTTTAATTTTCTCTCTCATTCATCATTTAAAAAAAATAAAATAAAATAAATATTGAAATCAAATCTTTCATTTTGATATTTCTCCTTTATCTATTAAATAAATAGAAAATGTAAATAATAATAATAATGATAAAAACGTAAAAAAAAAAAAATTGCAAGAATTTCAAAATTGTTATAGCCCACGGTGATAAAATGATGGACGAATGAAACCTTACGTAAAATCCCTTTTTTTTTTTTTTTGTTAAAACTTGAAAAAACTCCAAAATTTTTATATGGTATAAAAACATCAAAATAATAATAATAATAATAATCATAATGATAATCAGTATAAAACAAACAATGATAAGAAAAATTTTAAGATCGTAAAAAGAAAAAGAAAAATTCAAGTTTTTCAAAAAGTTTTTTTTTATTCGACATCCATTTTTTTTTTTTTTAATTGAGATGAAAACTGAATAAGATGCTGAAAAAATATTTGGAAAAAAATTACCATGGTAAAGTAAAAAATAATAATTATAATAATAAATAAGATTAATGTCTTATCTTCGAATATAAACCTCTTTTTATTTTTTTTTCCAAAAAAAAAACTTTATATTTATAAAAAAAAAGTCTCGCGCCATCTTTCATTTAAAAATAGAATTTTCTATCGAAAGATTTTTATATCGTCGTAACGAGAAAAAAATCGTTACTACCAAATTCATCAAATGATGATATAAATAATTATTAAAAAAAGGTATTATTATTATTATTAATAAATCAAAGGAAAAATAATAAAAGGAAAAAATTAAATTTTTCAATATTTAATTAAAGAAAACTTTAACGAAGTTAACGATTTTAAAATTAAAATGTTTGCTTTGTCCAAAAGTAAACAATGGATAACTAGTTAAAGTTAGAAAAAAAGAGAAAAAAGAGAAAAGAAATTTTTTTTTTTTAAAAATATCTTTGACAGATGTTTTATAAATATAAAATTTATTAAAATGGGGTAAAAACTATTTTTTTTGTGTGTGTGGGAAAACTCCCTTCTCCTACCCCCTACCCCCCACCACAAAGGAAAAAAAAATTTATGCAAAATGGCAAAATAAATTTTATTTTTTATTACGATCGCATATGTCACCCTCCCCCTCGTGCGCATATTATATTTTTAATATATTAAATATATATATATATATTTATGTATTAATAATTTATTAATGAGATATTGATTGATTGATTGATTGATGGGTTTGATAATTATTTTAATGATAACTTACCGATGTCAAATTATTTATGAGGCCCAATAATTTTTGAATTTCAGTTTTTTGATCTTCCACGACGTTTTGTAACATTTTTATGCATTTCCTTTGTTCGTCCAAATTTTGACGATAACGCATCAATTCTTTTTTCAATTCTTCTTTTTCAACATCGTTTTCAATTAATTTTTGTTGTTTGTTTTTAAAACCTTCCATTTTTTTCATTTGTGCAGCGAATTTTGATTTTAAAGTAATCATTTGTTTTTTTAACGTCCAATTTTCCGAACATAATTCAGACATTTGACGATTGGATTTTTCTTTTTCAACTTCTCTCGTCATTCTATTTTTTAATTTTTCCCTTTCCCATTCTTTTTCTTTAATATTATTTTCAATTAATTTTTTTTTTAATTTCCTAACTTTGGGTTCTAACGAATCGAGGCACTTTAATCGTGTTTCATAATTTCTCAATGCTTTTTCAATTTCTTCCATCGTCGTTTCCGATTTTATTTTACGTTCCGGTACCGTTTTAGATGGACCGTCACCCGGTGACGTAGAAGGTCTCTCGGTTGTGTTTTGACGTAATTGATTTTCTATATTTTTTGAACTGTTTTGTTGATCATCTAAATTGTAAACGTTTTGCTTGTTTTCATATAATTCGATTAATTCTTTTTTTTCAGTTTTTTTCGGGGGGCAAACAAATCTTAATTTTTGTACGGTTTGTGATTTTCCACAATTATTTTTTCCATAGCTTTTCAATTCTACAGATGATTTTCTATTTTGATTTTTTGAATTTGTTGTATTATTATAATTATTATAATTATTATTACTATTATTATTACTATTATTTAAATTATTCGATTCATTCCAATTATAATTTTTTGAATCTCTTACTGGTTTTAAATTTTCGGAATTTTGCATTTCGTCTTGATAACTCCCTGAAAAAAAAAAAAAAAAAAAAAATTTTTAAGTAAATTAAACAAAAAATTTTCAATTTTTTATTAAAAAAAAAAAATAAAATAAAATAAAAAAAATACCCCGGTTTGAATTTGGATTGTCTTCGTAACGTGGTCCTAATCTACCATTACCATTGTCGGATACGAAACTTTCATTGATTGTATTATTATTATTATTATTATTATTATTATTATTATTATTACTATTATTATTATAAGTATCACAATTAAATGATTCATCTAATGAATTTGCTGAAGATGATTCGACACAACTTGTCCTTCGCCATCCGCAATCGCAATTCACGTTTTTAATACTTTCAACTTTCGAACTTGATTTAGAATTATTTTTAATTGAAGTTTTCGATTTAGAAGAATCTAATTTTTTTTTTTTATTTAGATGAATAATGGCATTTGTCAATGCGAACAACAATCTTCCTTTTTCAGATATAATTTTTTCTTTTTGTTTTTGCAATCTTTTTAACGTTTCCTGATCTTTTCTATTGTAAAGCTGCGTAACCTGAGGTCTCGAATTACATTGATTCAACATCATCATTTGAATTCTTATTTGCTGATTGATTTTATCACGTTTCAATTGAATGTCATCCAATTTTAACCTTAAGTTAGTTATTTTATTAACGAGTTCGGTGCTTTTATCTAATTCTTCAATTTTCGTAAGACTCGAACAAATTTGTGTATTTACTGTCGAACGTGATTCGGTAATATCAAAACTATTTCCTGATTTCGCATAACGACAAACCGTTCGGATTTTTAAATTTTCAATATTATCATTATCTTCGTTTGTGCAAAGTACGTAATCGATTTTTTCAAGTCTGCTAACAGCTTTACATAAAAGAGCAATACATTCAAAAAATTTTTTCTAAAAAAAAAAAAAAATTTTTTTAAATCATAACAATAATAATTTTAATCGCAAGAGTTTGTTTTTTGTTGTTGTTGTTATTACTTCAAATATGTATTTTTTGCATTGAGCTTTCCATAGATTTTCCTTTTCATCTATTGAATTAGGTACAGCATTGCGTTTTCTTAAAGCTCCACTTTGATCAATATTATTGGGATCAATACTCAGCCTTCTTAAAGTTCCACCACCTTCATCAATATTATTAGGATCAATACTTCGCCTTCTTAAAGTTTTACCACTTTCATCAACATTATTAGGACCAACATTGAGCCTTCTTAAAGTTCCACCACCTTCATCAACATTATTAGGACGAATATTGAGCTTTCTTAAAGTTCCCCCTTCATCAATACTATTAGAACCAATATTGAGCCTTCTTAAATTTTGTCCAAAATTTTTATCTTGCAATACTTTAAACAAAATTGGTACCGGAATGTACCTCCCGTATAAATGAACAGGTGATTTACCATTGGCCTAACGCGATAATCAATTTAATATTAATAAATAAAATTAATAAATTAAAAAAATTTTTTTTTTTTTAAATTTTCCCTTAAAGTACCGTGATACCTCTCCATCTGACATCAAGTCCAATAGGTATTCGTTAAATATACAATAATTAGTGGACCAAGCTCTGAGGTCATCGCAGGAACTGTATTTTTTGAGCCTCCCATCGCTTCTTTTTCTTGTTGCTCGTAATTTGTATTCAGCATCACTATCATCCAAATAACGGGAATCGATTATCCTCGTCCTTCGGGAAATATAAGTCATAACGACTTCACACTGTCGATTTCGATAAAATTCATAATAAGTTTTGTTTTTATTTTACGACTCCAGACTTAAACATTTTCTACACTTTTTTTATCACTCAATTGAATAAAAACACTGTGTTTACAATTTTGAACCGATGAAAAAATGAATGTTTTCCTGTTTAGTTTCAAATAATTTTAAACTGTTTGTATTTGTTGTTCTATTTCGTAAGCCTCCAAGACCACTTTTCTCTCTCTCTCTCTCTCTCTCTTGACTAACCGTTTTTAATTATCTTTTAAAAACACATTACATTTAGAAAAATACTCCCGTTTTTTCTTTTTTTAAATTTTGATGAAATTGTTTTATTCGAATTTAACGTTTTATTATTAAAACAGTTTAAATTTGAAGTTTTATGTAAAATTTTTTTTCCTTTTAACTTATGTAAGAATGAAAAGTGCTGCTCTTTTAACGCCTTGTGGAATTTTTTTAAACTATCACGACGTTTTTAACGTTTGAAACTTAGAGTGAAAAAACAAAATAGATTAGTAAAAAACTTGTAAAATATAAAAACTTTTTTTAAATGTTATAATTTAGTTTAATTGTTTTGTCTTATAATTAAAAAATTTATTTTTTAAACGGTATTTTAAATTGCACAACCAGCGGAGAATATTTTATATTTTATAACGAAAATCTTAAATCACGGAGGCATTGCTCTTATTTTATATCCAATATAAAAAAATGCTTCAGTCTTTATGAATCGTTTATTTTAAAAAAATTTATAAACTAATGATAGATAACACTAAATAAACTGAAAAATATATTTTAAATGTCGAAAATAAAAAAAATTAATAAAAAGTTAGTCCATACATAAAAACGCGGATGTTGCATCGTTACTGTTATGAGGCTCTGCGGAGTTTAATTCAAAATGGCGGCATGACGGTACAATTATTCCGTATTTCTGACCGATAAAACGGGAAAAAAAATGTAAAATTTATATGTGTATGCAACACTAATACAGTAAATAAAAAAGTAAAATATTTGCAGGCATGATTAAAATATTTAGAAATTTGCTTTACGCATTCTAAACTGGTTGAATTGTTTGCATAAAATTCTAAAATATCCACCTGAGGAATGCTGTTTGAGGTGTTAACGTAAGTAAAAGAATTTTTTTACGTTCGTGTCTGAATCGGTTTTTAAAACCCTAATTTAAGCGTGGATTATTAGAAAAGAGAAAAAAGAAAGAAAAAAAAACACAATGCCTTTCTCTAGATAGTGCGTTAAAATTAAAAACATTTAAATAAGGGCTGAAGCCTAGTGTTTGTGTTGTGTTGAAAAGCTTTTGGATCATAAAAATCGGGGTTAACCTATCAGCTGTAAGTTCAAGGTGGATACTTCAATCAGTTGAAGAAGAATGGCCTTTAATGAGGTAAGATGACACTATTATATCTATATATAATAATATTTATTAGGCCTTAACGTAACCATATTTTATTGGTTATGACATTAAAATAATTTTTGGTTATGTTACACATTAGAATTTTATCTTGATAAAGACAATTTGTAATCTTAACTTCTGTTTTCTCAGACCTTGAGCTTTTCATATAGGTTTGATTTGAATTTCAATCAAGTGAGTCAGAACTGTATTTATGCAAACATATGTGTTTGTGATATTTAAAATATTGTTTTTTTGTTTTCAATTTAATAAAATGGCATGTTTTTTTGGTATCTTATTGTTAAGTAATGTCATCTTAATTAAAAAAATTATGCAATCTACAACGTCTATGTATAGATGTTAAACTATAAACGATAACTGCTGAGATAGGTTTAATATAAACTTGTAAACATATTGTTTATAATTTATATATCGTATTAAAAGGATGAAGTATGTAAAATGATCTGAACAAATTTTTTTTTTTTTTTTTTAAGTAACATTCAAAATTTTAAGTAAATGATATTAGGAAAAATTATAAAAAATGAATTGGGTTTAGCGATTCTATCACATTACCAAATTGTAAAGTAAAAAATTGGTAAATTTTAAAATTAATTCGAATATTGTTTGAAGTTTCTTGAATATTTAAAAACCTATGGGTTTTACATTCTAGCAATTTTAATTCTTTAGTAAAAAATTTTAAAGCAGTTGTTACATTATGATTTAAATCAGAATTTGATATTGCCTTAAAATTTTTAAAATGAATTATTTAAATTTTGAAAAATTTTACTTTTCGATTTATAAATTTGTCTCTGACAAGTAATAAAATGCACCTTTTTTTTCTTTAATCAAAAAACTATTTGAACTCATGTGGGTGCTATAAAGGATTCTCTTAGAAAAAGTTTTTGCTTGAAACTTTTGAGATACTTTAGTTTTTGAATTACATTCAATTCGTTTGAAAACAAGTTTTTTTAATTTAATTATTGTTTGAATACAAACCAACTGATTTCTTTATGTCAAATTATTTCATAACCTGCCAAATATTTTGTGTTGGGGAAAGTGATTAAATGCTGTCAGTCTTGATTTATTTTTATAATCGAGTTATTTTTAATACTTTTTTTTCTTCTTTGTAACTGTAACGTACGCCATATATTTTTTCTTATGACATTACAAATAAATTTAACAAATGAAAACAACTAAGAATTCTTACAGTTATGTAATTGTTGTTTCAAATGTTTTTCATTGTGGATGACCCATAGCAATAAAACTGGCTATTATGTACACAATATTAAGTAAAACTTTTTTTTTTTTTTTTATATATTTATCATCAATTATTTATTTCATAATAAAAAAAAAAATTATTATTATTATTTTTTTTTTTTTAAAAAAAAGATAAAAAACAACAGTCGATTCGTTAATAACACATACATGAAATTTGTATTGCGTTAAATTAAATAATAATATTAACCCAATTATTATTATTATCTACGCATAATTATTTGCAAGATATGTAACGAAACTTTTTAATTTTGTTATTAAAAATAATAATTCGATCGATGATTAATTAAAACTCGGTGATTGTAACGTTAGTTTTATAAGTAAATAGTTGTTTTTATTTATTTATTTATTTATTTAATTTCATTATTAGTGATATGAAGGACGCAAAATTGAGTTCTCCAATTAACTGTAGCATTGTAAAAAAATTACTCATGCAGTTACTGAATTGGGTGCGCCTAGCCGGAGATATGCTTTATTATTTTACTTTTTCGAAGTTATTTATTTTATTACCCTTGTCTACATTACAATATTTTTTTATTTTTTTTTACTAATTCATGAAAAAAATCCTTACGAAAAATTAGTTATAGGATTTTTAATGTTATTATTATTATTATTATTATTATTATTATTATTATTATTAGAGAGAGGAAAAAATTTTAAAAAAATGTCGTATATTATTCGGTCGTCTCGTTGTAGTTATTTTATTTACATCTAATCAAGACAAATTCAAACTTGTTACCTATCGACTTGAAGGTTTTTTTTTTTTCGAGAGAGAGAGATTTCAAGTTATTATTGGTAAATAAAATAACATTCAAAAAAAAATAAAAATAAACACATTTTAGTAATTTGATATTTGGAACGAATACTTTTGATTACTTTTCGTGGTTTTACTATCTGGAATCTTAATATTTATCCGCGTACAGGTGGTATTTTATATCTTATGTCTTAAATTATTATTATTATTATTATTATTATTAATAAATCCGCCTTTGGAATTAAATCACTCGAGTTATTTTTCGAAATATTTTTTCAAATCGAAACTGATGGAAATAAGGAAAACGTGAGCTTTCAATTAAATTTTGTCTCTGGTTTGCCCATTGTGAATTTTATATTATTTTTTTTTTCTTCATGAATTTGTGGCCGTGTCGAAGTTAATAAACCTTAAAAAAAAAAAAAATTATTATTTATTTAAAAAAACAGGTATTTAAGGTAAATCAGGTTTTGTTTTTAATGATGCGATAGTAATGGTAAATGAAAAAAAAAAAAAAAAAAATATGTGAAAGTTGAGGGTCGAACATTATTTTTCGCGTTTTTACTTATTTTAAAATTAAAAATTTTTTTATTTATTTTTTTTTGGAAATTTTTTATTCGAGTAAGTGTGAAATAAAAGCATAAGAATGGCAAAACAAAAAAGTTTTAAGTTGGCGTTTTAAGGTTTTTTTTTTTAAATTTTTTTAAACGTGTAGCGAAACTTAATTTACAGTTCAGGTAAAAAAAAAAAAAAAAAAAAATGAAACGTTCTTACTCACACTTTTCTGTTGGAAATTATTACTCACTTTACTTTATTATTATTATTATTCTCCGTGCTAACCTCTCGGTTGTAAAATTTATTAATAATTCTGTTTCGATATTGAAAGGTATCAAGGAAGGGGAATGCAATACATTTTTTATGGCATTTCAATAATAAAGAAAAAATGCATTCATAAATTATTAAATATCGTCGTCGGGAAAAAAATATTTTTGAAAATTGTAGTAAAAACTCTCTACTCAAACCATTTAGAGAAATTGCAATGGAAACGAAAAAAAATAAAAAATAAAATAATAATAATAATCGTGAAAATCGATATCAATTTCCAATAAATCACAAAGAATTTAAAAAAAAGAAAAAAAATTACAAGAAAAATTTAATTTTAAAAATTAAAGACTGATTTATTATTATTTAGGGAGCCAATGAAAAATTTCTATACGGCCCTTAAATTAATTATTTTGTGGGTAGTTCGTGGTTTATATACTTCGGGGTCCCCAGTCTCGAATCGATCGGTCAATTTTTTTTTTTTTTTTTTTTCCTACTCCCCAGCAGTCATCATGAAAAACGGTCGGTTTGTGCAAGCTTTTTTTTTTTTTTTTTTTTTTTTTAAAGGCCCAAAAAGCAATTAAAGAATTAAAACGGCAATTAAGAAATTGAAAATAATTTTCGATGAGAAAAAAAAAAATTTTTTTTTAAATCATGACAGCAATTAAAAGCTTATTTAGGCGTTACTTTAGGGGAAAATATAAGCGATCGTTAGAAATGATATAATTTTTTAGGCTTAATTTCACACGCACGCGTTTTACCAATCAAAAAAAAAAAAAAAAAATGTCGAGCTCACATTAAAATGCAAATTTATTTT